ACCTAAGGTGAACATAATCGATGGTCGGTGGCTCTTCAAAATGAAGCGCCCTCTTGGAGAGCTACCGATGTTCAAGGCGCGCTACGTTGCTAGAGGCTCCAGTTAGCACGACGATGTTGACTTCATTCATACCTTCGCCCCGACCCCAAAGATGACCACTCTTTGGACGCTGTTTGACGTAGCAGCACAGCGCGACTACGAGCTGCACTCTCTCGACTTCTCCACAGGGTTTCTCCAGGGCAGTCTGCACGAGCAAGTCTACTTGCGCTGTCTGCCAGGCTTCACTGACACCTTTGCCCCTGGGACTGAGTGGCTTCTCCGGCGCCCTGTCTACGGTATGCAGCCGACGCCCAGTGAGTGGCACGACAAGCTGCGCGCTACGTTAGCAGACTAGCAGTTCTTCCCGTCCTCCGCTGACCCTTAGCTCTTCGTTCGTTCGGGTCAGACCCCATTCTAAATCGTAGTCTACATAGACGACCTGGTCTTCGCTACTGCAGACAGAGACATACTTGCCTCAGTGCAGGCTGCGTTGCTGAGGAAACACACCTGCACTGGCCTAGGAGAGTTGCGCCGCTACCTTGGCCTGCAGATCTCCAGGGATAGAGCAGCGCGCACCATCATTCTCACACAATCACGCTTAGTACGTCAGGTCCTTAAGAGTTTCGGTCTTCACTTCTCCTCCGCATAGCCTACACCTCTGGCTGTAGATCACAAGCTCTCGGCTCCAGTCTCTGACAAGTCAATTGAGCCTAGTGGTCCGTACGCAGAACTGGTGGGCTGCCTTATGTACCTGATGAGTTGCACTCGTCCAGATCTCGCACACCCTCTTAGTATTCTGGCTCGCTTTGCAGCGACAGGCAGATACCGACCACAGCACTGATCGGCTGTTAAGAGGGTTTTGCGTCAGCTAGCAAGTACATTGGGCATGGGGCTAGTGCTGGGAGGACACCGGCCAGCGGTTCTCACAGGGCATACAGACGCTTCATGGGCGGACGATGTTGAGACACTCAGGTCCTCCTAGGGCTACTACTTTAGCCTAAGTGCATGCGCCATCTCATGGAGGTCCACCCGCTCGTCGTCTGTTGCTCGGTCTAGCTGTGAGGCTGAGATCTACGCCTGTGCCATGGCGGCACGGGAGCTCCGCTGGATGACGTTCCTACTTACAGACTTAGGTGAGCGGCCTAGCTCTGCCCCGGTCCTGTACTCTGACAACAGGTCCATGATCCTCTTGTGTCACAAGCCTCAAGTAGAGGGCAGTGTGAAGCATATCCAGCTCCGATACTTCCTCCTACACGAGTTAAAGCAGCTGTGCCAGGGCTGCGTAGTAAACTTGGCCTCTAGTGCCAACACAACTAATATCTTTACTAAGGCGCTTGTGCCTAAAGATCATCATCGGCACTGTGTACAACTTGGTCTAGTTCCAATAGCTCCTTACGTGCTTGGACTCTAATTGTATACTACTCCTTATACAGTATGATCTTGACTGGCCTTGTGGCTCCTGTCGCAATGGCTGGACTAGTAGTGTCGCCCTGGGTTACTCTTGTTAAGTCTGTATTCTTGCTGACTGGTCTTCAGACCCTTGCCTCAGAGGTTGGACTAATAGTGCGACCTTAAGTTGTGCATCTCTTGCTGGGCACTGCCCCTTGTCCAACCTAAGGGGTGTGTCAACTTAGACATTTATAATGTGTGTCTTCTTATAGTCTAGACCGGTATGTGCTCTTCGAGAGTACAACCCACAACTCATATTACAGCTTGTATGCCCTTGCTTAGTCCACTTTTGCTACTCCTAAACACCCATCTCTAATACGATATCATAACTCAGTCACTAACCACTGAATTAAAAGGGCTTGTTTAGTAGCGGATAAGTAAACCCATAACCCCCCAGCCTTTGCACATGTAACCCTTCCCCGAAGACCAAGGGCAACCCCAGCGTGTATCTTGATTAGCCACCCCTGACTGACGAGAGTTACGTTGCCCCCCTTGCCCCCCACGAAATCACGACTTTCAAACGCACTACGTTTGAAGACCGCGCCTTGTAATTTGGGCCACGTGTTTTAGGGCCATTTCCAGCACAATGTCTAGCTCGAACCAAGGCTGTTGAGGGTAAAATCTATACGCATTAGCTTATATGCTCGCATGTAAGGATTGTAGCTGCCATCAGCTATAGAGTTGAGTGGTGGAGTGCACAAATTCACCCTTAGATGATGAATATTTTCCAACATAAGCAAATTTGTTGACGTACTCATCCACTTGAAGCAATGGTGTCATTAGTAGTACACCTGTTCCACGCTATGGTCCAAATACGAACAATCCAAATTGCAATTCTCGCCTAATCTTGTAATCCTCTGGGGTCCCAGTTGCAATTCTCGTCTGCTCGTGTCCCCCTGTCAGTCCCAACCACCAGGTACCTAGCTGAACCGCATGAACCCCAAATTTCAGCCCGAAATGTTCAACAACTTGTCAGGGAATTACTGTGCATTTCTGGGCTAATGTTCCGTTTGCCCGTGGCTTGAAATTCCAAGAAAGCAAGTTCGATCCGCGTAAAAAAATCCGTCTCCTTTAGCGTGGAAGGGGTGTACAGGAATTGGTGGCTAGTGCAGCTGTAGGCGTGTCCCAATAGTAAACCATTGCGTTTGGGATATGTTCCATTCGGCCCAGAGGAATAAACATGACGTTTATTATGGTTGGACATGGCCAATGGCCAATACACCTAGCCCACGATATTTTCACACCCAGTATTTTCACAGGGGGAGCCGTCGAGAGGGTATTCACCCCCCGAAAGCAGCACTTGAAGACCAGATCTGAATACTCTTGAAAAACAATTTGAACTTGGGTTTCTATACGAAATGTTTACTGCTCGATTTAGTGTTTCTCGAGTGAAGAAACCCGACGCTAGCTTAGGCAGTGCTAAAAGTTTTTGCCCGCGTGGATCCTGCCAAGCTTAGGCTGTAGGAACAAGGGGGTACCGTCTACGCACTCAGAAATGGTCAGGGTGGAATCAAAAATGCTTCTGACACCTAGTTTCAGGGTATAAAATTACCGCGGACTAGGTGTATTGTTGGACCAATACAAACGATGCTCAGCCTTATCGCAGCTCAACCTGGCGTTTAATCAAAATAGTTTCTCAAAACTCTCGATATACGAGCAATGGGAGATCCGTTTGAGTCTCTCGTGATTGCGTCTGCGACCAACATATAGCAAGGGACAAGTTGTTACCCTGTCGCCACGGAATTGTGCACGGAACTGTGCACCGCCGTCGCCTGATCGCTTTACAAGAGTCGCACACTAGCAACAAACATTGCCACACAAGCTCCCCCCACAAATACCCACCCGTTTCGCCGTCTGCTCGTGCGAAAGCCTCTTTTGCCCGTGGCGAGGAAATGCGAAATGTTTGAGCGATTGAATCCCCGGCACCCTTAAATCTTGTGCGACTCTGACGAGCTTCGTTTGTATTGTTGGCACACGGTCCTGCATTCCGCCAGGGTCTGCTCCCAGGGCGGCAGCGTGCAGATGCGCCGGAATGCAGGTCTATTTTGCTGGTCAGGAGTCCTCACTCCTGGCCTGAGCTGACAACCTCAGCAATAACTGGCTCTAAGTTCGACTGCCGGAAAAGTCTCAGCAAGCAGGTCCAGACTGTATTTCATTCGGATAGTTGACCTTAGGGGAGGAATAGCGAGCGCAGAAATGAAGTGGGTGTGAAACGAGATGCATTGTAACATTTAGATAGGCAGCCCGTTATCCAGCGCGAACTAGAAACCGTTCTCTTAGAGGTAGACCAGATACAGGTACGATTTCTGAGTAGCATTGACGTCACCGTATCGTGAGATAATTGCCAAAGGGTCACATGCGCCTGCATTCCGGTTCGAGCGAGTGCTCTTTCCTGGAGTCAGCGTCGTCCTCACTCTTGTTGCTACGTCGACACATTCATGCCACGTCGACTACCCCCCTGATGCCGAAATGTTGGCGGTAGTTGTCAGTAGACAAACACCAGCTGTAACAAATCAAGACTGAGCTTCAGGGCAGTGGGTTCCCTGAGAGCTGAATAAAGTTTCAGTGCATACGAGTGGTTTTTATAATGTACACCTCAAGCTAGCTATGTAATATACATCGATCAAACTTCCGTGATTTTCTGGGCTGCAAGAAAAACAGGTGAGAGCAAAATTACAAGGCAGTGCGTTCCGGCAAATGATTTGTCGTTGCACACGCACGGTTGCTGCAATGGGGAAGTGCGAGTGAGCATTGGAAACAGACGAACCTGCATTTGTCGTCTAAGAATGGCGAACACATTTTCTGCAAGTCCTGCAGTATGCGGACACAACAGGGCCGCCGGAAATTCTTCACACAACATTGTTCTGTACAGGTTGAGCCCAGAATCAGATCCAGGAAATTTCGGAGATTTAACGATTTATATGAGGTGCGGGTGTAGCACACTCCACTACGACAGCAATAGAGACTTGGGAACTACCGCAACTCAGGAGTGATAGAAGACAGACTACCGAGAACATTGGAACAACCCAGTGGTGCTCGTTTCGAACAGGCAAAACAGAACGGATAATCAAAAGTGTCAAATGGCTTCGGCACGGTTTCGAGAAATTCCACCATGCTGCCCATAAAAGAAGGTCTTGAAAGTCGTATCCTCGAAGGACAATGGTGCAGGGACGATTCTTCCTGCAGAATCCCCACCGAGCCGATCTTATTGCGCGTGGGACTAGCCCAACACACCAACTCCGTTCTTCTCCACATCTCACAGATCAAACCTGCTCCTGCAATCGAAGCATGACCATCGCCATTGGTAACCAACATGTCACATCACATGCGGCGATCAGATAACATAAAAACGTCCCTTCGCAAAGGCGGTGGCGGATCTGGCAAAACCGAGGACCTGCCGCAGCCCCTGCCAAGCCCTGCATTGCCCTCTCTGGCAGCGCCGTCGCTGGGAGTGAATGCCAACATTCACGCGCACTAGGAAATCCACCGCCCTGCCAGAGTCAGTCGATCGAAACTGTGCCTGGTTGACGAAGCGAAACCCTCGTTTCCGAGGCTCCATGGGACCATGAGAACACGCGGAAAGCAACCATTCCTTGCGCCGTGGGAGTGAGCCAGCAAGCTAAGGAGGGAAGGAACACTCGAGGAAGAAATCTGAAGGGAGCTCAAAATCTGGCTACTAATTGTGTAAGAACGATATGTCACAACGCGAGATCTAAAGGAGCACACCGTTCGACGAAGCGTAGTCGCTACCACGCGGATCAGACCCAGATTGACAAATTTCCATTATTTTTTGTTATTAAATAATAGACGCCGGATGAAGTGACAGAGCGAGTCCGAGCGTCTCTTGCTCAAGATGCTGACGAGACATCCATGATGAAGCAGAGAGGAGCCACATCATGTGAGAAGTCGGACTTTTCTCTGTCGGACCTGCTAGGTCCTCGCAGATCCAGATGCAATTGTGTAATCCGGCAGTCCAGAATCGAGCTTTTTGGCATGAGTCTATGCCATGGAATCGTGGCCAACATAGGGGACTTCCATGCGGCGTAGTCTGCCGTATTTACTAAGACTGATAGGGACATACTAAGACTGATTCCGAGGCCTGGCGACATCAGCCGTCATGTCTGTTCATTCATCATGAGAATGCTTCCATCATGGCCATGGGATCTCCCCTCTCCATGACAAAAATGCTCATGATGGGATGATCTACCCCTCTAACCCTAGCTTCCCCCTCTCTCTGCCATCGCTCTGCCATCGCTCTGCCACTGGCAGGCCTCCTGATCTAATGCACACCCACGCCTTTCTCCAAGAAAAGCCTGAGAAGAAAATAAGAGTGGAGGTGAGGGTTAGGAAGAGTGGGGATGGGCCATCTAGACGAGGATGTCATGGTAGGGTGAGAACCAGAGGGCAAGAAGATGACCTGGGGAGATTGAGAGGGCTGATGGAATGATGGGTTGACTTTAGAGTCGACTCAAAAATGGAAGTGCGGAGATGGGCCATCTAGACGAAATTGTCATGGTAGGGTGAGTACCAGAGGGCAAGAAGATGAGCTCAGGGTAATGATAGATAGAGGGGGTTGAGGGAATGATGGGGACGAGGGGTGAGTCAGAAAGTCGGAATTATGGGAGAGGAAAAAGGAGATGCTACAAAGATTGGAAGGAGAAGGTTGAGGTGAGAGATAGAAAGGGAAGCGGGAGAGAGTGATCTAGTAGCAGAAATTCTGTTGGCTCATGTCTGCTATTTATATAGCTGCTGTGAGTCACCTAAGGTCACGGCATCATTTTATTTATTTATTTTTGGCTTCAAGGAGATCCCAGGAGGAAACCAGGCCCCATATTTATTTCACGGCATCATAAAAATCAGTGACCCGCTTTGTGCTGCCGTTGCCCCTCCTCTGTCTGCTGTGGCCAGGAGATGCGACCCTCTGCCCCTGTGGACCTTAACGCCCCTGTTGACCGTCACGGATGGCAGGCACCTGACAAAGCACCTGAAGAATCACCTGGCGCGTCTGGTGCCATTTTACGCCTCCAAGATTCGGTACCTTCAGCCACGCTTCGCTCTGTTGGGCTGAGGATAGGAGAGGCAGGACGTGGGGGGACACCAGGAGAGGAGAGCGAGGAGGGAGAGGAAGGAGGGGAAGGAGAGGAGGGAGAGGAGGGAGAGGAGGGGAAGGGGGGACAGGAGGCAGAGGAGGGAAGAGATGGAGGGGAGGTAGGACAGGTTAGTAGAGTGGTTGGGGGTACAGCAGAAACAGGAGGCATGGGAGCGTTCTTGAGAGGAGACAACAGAGATGCCATTGTGGGGCATGGTGTTGGTGTTGGTGCTGGTGCAGGTGCTGGTGCGGTGGAGGGGAGAATGAGCGGTGAAAGCCATGATGAGAGGCGTGAAAGGGCCGAGAGAGGAAGCAGGAAGAATCCACTTAGGGTGGGCAGGGAGAGTGGTGGGGAAAACACAGAAGAGCATCAGCAGGGGAAGCAGGACCCGCAGGAGCAGCAGGGGAAGCAGGAGCAGCAGGAGCAATCGTCAGCGCGTCTGAGCCCCGGTTCCTTCCTTGCCTCGTCCGCATCAGCAGGGTTCCATGCCAGCAAGGAGGGGAGTAGGGAGGGGAGTAGGGAGGGGAGTAGGGAGGGGAGTAGGGAGGGGAGCGGCATGGATGGGGGCAGGGAAGTGGCGGGGCGGGAAGGGGAATGGAGGCATGCAGGACTGAGGCTAGCGCCTTCTGTTGGAGCAGGTGGATCTTCAGGTGCTTCTGGCGATGCTTCTGGGAGAGAGCAACAGCAGAGGATGGAGGAGGGGCAAGAGGAGCGGCGCGAGGAAGAGGAGTGGAGGCAGCGGCAGCAGAGGGGGGAAGAGGAGCAGAGGCAGCGGCAGCAGAGGGAGGGAGGAGGCGAGCAGTGGCAGGAGAAGGAGGAGCCGAGGGAGGTGCAGCCGTGGTGGCTGGGGGAGATTCGTGGGCGGGTATGGGGGACAGGTAAGGAAGATATGGGCCTGGCGGCAGGGAGAGGAGAGGCCGGTCTTGGTGAGGGAATGGATGCGAAGGTGGGCTTTCGTGGGCGGGAGGAGCACGTTGGGAGGGGGGAGCATGTTGGGCGGGAGGGGCATGTTGGGCGGGAGCGAGAGCAAGTGCGGAAGAGACCACGGGTGGAGAGGTCACCGCCGCCGCAGTACGAGCAGCAACACGTGCGTGACTGGGAGGAGAGCGCAAAGCAGCAGCAGCAGCAGCAGCAGCAGCAGTTGAGCCTGGCGAGCTTGGGCATAGAAGAGCGGAGGGAGCAGCAAATGAAGTGGCAGGAGCGGGGTACCCAGAGCCCCCTGAAAGCCAATGCTCATCACACGCCTAGTCACGTCCCACCCACTCAGTTATCCCCTATGGCGTGTGGCTTGCTATCCCCCATAAGACACAACCCGTTAGCACCCACAACTGACAGTGTTGTGGCTCCGATAACACACGGTCCCATAACGCATATTCCCATAAGACATACTCCCATAACCCATATTCCCATAAGCCATACTCCCATAAGCCATACCCCCATAAACCATACTCCCATAACACATAGTCACCTACCCACCCGTGTACAGTCCGTGAAAGGAGAGCCCGTGGACGGAGCTGGACAGCTTAGTAGCCTCTCACTCGCGTCTGACTCTCCTTTGCCACCGGCACAACCAGCAGCAGCAGCAGCAGAGGCAGACGCAGCAGCAGCACGTGTGGCCAGAAGCATACAGTTCTTTCATTCTTTGAACCGCATTCCAGGCCGGCTAGAGGCCAGTGGGGCAGGGGGGGGGGCGGGGGCAGGGGAAGGGGCCGCGGAAGCAGCAGGACCAGGACCAGGCGCAGGGGCAGGGGCAGGGGTGGCGGCAGGGGCAGGGGCAGCGGCAGGGGCAGGGGTGGGTCCGGTGATTTCAGAGTTGACTCAGCCGGCAAAGCAGCAGTGTCAAGCCGCTAGCCCACTGGGGCAGAGCGGAGGCGCGAGCCCTCCTGCGCGGGGGGAAGGCGCGAGCCCCGTGGCGCAGAGTGAAGCCGCCCGCCCGCTGGCACAGAGTCAGGGCGCCAGCCCTCAGGCGCAGATGGACCTGATGCTCAACGCCAGCTGGCACAGGCGGCACAGCGGGGAGGCGAGGGGGGACCCGGTGGAGTTCGAGTTCAGGATGGGGGCCCCGGGCGGTGACTCCGGGGAGGGCTCGTACGGGCAGAGAATGGCAGATGGCCAGATGCAGAGAACGGGAGACGGCCAGATGCAGAGAACGGGAGACGGCCAGATGCAGAGAACAGGAGACGGTGGTGAGGGGAGAACAGCAACAGCAGTCAACACCTTTGGTGAGAGGTCGGGGGGTGATGGGGGAACAGAAGTGAAGCTGGGGATTGATTTGGGGAAGGGGGGGCGGTGGGGGCTAGATGGGGATGAGGGGGGGAAGGGGGAGAGGTGGGGGCTTGATGTGGGTGAGGGGGCAAATCCTCTGCTTGCAAGCCACGTGGCACGTTTGAACAGTGTGGCAAGTAGGAGACGTGGCAAGCTGGTATTGGATGAGAGCCTCGCTCTGACTCTGGGTGGGAGTTTCTCGGAAGGACAGGGAAGCTTCCTGGAAGGGGAAGAGAGGTTAGTAGAAGGGGGGAAGAGCTCAGTCCCAGGAGACAGAGGCAGAGCGACTGAAACCGACGCTCTTGCTCCTGCTCCTGCTGCTGCTGCCACTGCTGCTTACAGTTTGGTTGCAAGCCCCCATACGTCTGCTGTAGCTTTTCCTGCTGCTGCTGCCTCCACTGCCTCGCCTGCTCCTGCTGCTGCTGCTGCTCTCGGGGCTCCTGCTGCTTCTGCAGGCGTTGTTGCATCAGCAGCAGCGGGAGGCTCGGACATACTCCCCACCTTGGAGCAGTTTCTGGGGCACTTAAGACGGAGTATGGGCGACGCACAGCTCCTGGAGCACCTCACACGCAGTGTGAATGCCAACCAAAGCAGCTTGAGTGCGCATCCCAGCAGCTTGAGTGCGCATCCCAGCAGCTTGAGTGCGCATCCCAGCAGCTTGAATGCGCATCCCAGCAGCTTGAATGCGCATCCCAGCAGCTTAAATGCAAGCCAGCAGCAGGATAGACCAGAGGCAGGATCAGCAGACAGGGTCCTTCACACCGCACTCCCACCCGCCTTTGTCCCACACTCCACTTTCCAAACCCCCCTCACTTCCTCATCCCCTTTATCAGCAGCCTCGTTAAGAGCTCCCCTCGAGCCATACCCCGCTCTGCCACTATCATCCTCTTCCTCAGCAGCCTCGGGAGCTGCAGCCTCGGGAGTTGCAGCCTCGGGAGCTGCCCTTGCTTTGCTAAGTGCCAGCTTGGCCCACCGAGCCCGTCTTGCCTCGCTCTTCCCACCACCACGCCCAGCACCAGCGCCAGCGCCAGCACCAGCACCAGCGCCAGCACCAGCACCAGCGCCAGCTCCGGCACCAGCGCCAGCACCAGCACCAGCGCCAGCTCTCCCACCCCCACCGTCCACTCTCCCCACCCTCCCAGCTTCCACAGCCTTTGCTGCCCCGGCCCCCTTCCCTCTCTTCTCTCGTCCCTTTTCGGCCCCCACTCAATCATTCCTCCCACAGCACCCCTTTTCTTTCGTCCCTTCGTCCCCTTCACACTCTTTGGGCCTTGCCTCACTCGCCAATCCTGCTGCTGCGGCTGCTGCTGCTGCTGCGGGCGTTTCAGGTCGTGAGGTGGCTCCGACCCTTGGGCCCACTCTCAGCCTTGACAATCTTGGTTCTCCTGGTGCTAGTGGTGCTGCTGCTGCGTCTGCATATGCTGGTGGTGGTAAGAGCGACAGTACGTTCGCGCGTCCGCTGTTCCTCTCTGACGTTGGGCAGGCGCAAGGAGAGGGGAGCGTGAGAGGAGGAGAGGGGAGCGTGAGAGGAGGAGCGGGTCAGCTGGGTGGAGGTGCAGGAAGAGAAGGGGTGGGGGGGAGAGATACAAGGGTTGGAGAATCAGCCCTAAGGGGAGGAGTGGGAAGAGGAGGAGGAGGAGGAGGAGGGGGAGGAGGAGGAGGAGGAGGAGGAGGAGGAGGAGGAGGAGGAGGAGGAGGAGGAGGAGGAGGAGGAGGAGGAGGAGGAGGAGGAGGAGGAGGAGGAGGAGGAGGAGGAGGAGGAGGAGGAGGAGGAGGAGGAGGAGGAGGGGGAAGAGGAGGAGGAGGGGGGGAGAGGGAGGAGGAGGAGGGGGAGGAGGGGGAGAGGGAGGGGTTGGAGCAGGTAGCAGCAGCAGTGGTGATGGTGGCGGGGGAAGCAGCAGTGGGGGCGGCAGCAGCGGCAGATGGAGGGAGGGGAAGGGAGGCGAGGATAGGAGGTGGGGCATGGAGGTGCGACTTGATGATGCCACGCTGCTGGCTCTGGGGCTGGGAGATATGATCCGGGCGGCACCGGTGGGGCTGGGAGATATGATCCGGTCGGCTGGACAGGCAGGAGAAGCGGCAACGGTGTCAGCATTGGGGCTTGTGTCACATCAAGCATTGCAATCAGCAGCAGCAGCACCAGCAGCACCACCAGCAGGTGCAGGATCTTCAGCAGCAGCAGCAGCATCACGGGCACTGGCATCAGCAAGCGCTGCTGCCACTGCCAGTGCGACTGGGCGAAGCCACGGAGGGGCAGGAGTGAGGGGCAGAGGGGCAGGGCGAGTCAAAAGGGGGGCAGGAGGAACAACAGGGGGAGCAGCACGAGAAGCAAGGGAAGGACGAGCAGGGGCAGCAGGGGGACAGGTCGGAGTGGGAGCAGCAGCAGGAGGAGGAGGAGGAGGGGGTGAAGGTGCAGCAGGGGTGGGAGCGAGCGGGCAGGGGGGCGGCAGGAGGTGCAGCAGGACGGACGGCAAGGGGTGGGTATGCAAGCGGCTGGCACGCGAGGGCTTCCTGCTGTGCCAGCACCACATCGCCGTCGCCAGCCAGTCCTCCTCCGCACCTAAAGGGGGCGGGGGGAGGCGCAACAGACTCAAGCAAGGGAATCAACAGAAGACCAGCCTGCTTGGGGCGGATGCTGCTGCTGCTGCTGGTTCTGCTGCTGCCGGGTCTGGTGTTGGCGGTGCTGCTGCTGCTGGTGGTGGTAGTATGGCTGGAGAAATGGACGGAGCTACTTCCCCCACTGTAAGATCGGTGCAACACAGTGCTTCCGCTTGTAACAGCGGGGCATATAACAGCAGCCCCTGCAACGGCGCGGTTCCCTCTGAGAGAGGCGAGGGCGGCCGTGTGATAAGGAACATCAACAACATCAGCATCAACATCAACATGAACCTGAGCAGCCAGTTTGAGGAGCAACAGCACAAGTAGCGCACACATGGAGAAGTAGCCAATAGCGGCGAGGGCGAAAATGTGATCAGGAATTTTAAAAACATCAACATTAACATGAACCTCAGCAGCCAGTCTGAGGAGCAGCGGCGCAAGTAGTGCACTGGGATTCCCCAGTCTGGGAAGCTTCGATTCGACTCGAAATTCACCCTGTTTGATAAGCGGCACATGTAACGCATTGGGAGAGTGACGTAAATATTAGATAAGAGAAGTTGCTTCGGTGCCGCTTTGGAAGAAAGGAGCTGAAGCAGGCTGAAATTGTGGTTGTTAACATATTATCAAAGTTAGAAACTAGAATGAGGCAAACAGGTTGGTTTTGTCCAAGGGGTTGTACCCTCTAAGAGTATGCACCTATCTAGCCTATAAGACATACACATTATATGTTTGTCACACCCCCTAGGCTAGATGAGAGGCAGTGCATGACAAGAGACACACAGCTCATGTTGGCACTACTAGTCCAACCCCTGAGCCAGGGATCTGAAGACCAGTCAGCAAGCTGTACACAGTGCTGCTGATGAAATTTAGGCGCAAGCACCTTCGTAAAGATATCAGCTGTGTTGGTTGGCACCTGAGGCCAACTGTACTACACAGGCATGGCAGCGCTGCTGTAGCTCGCGCAGGAGGAAGTACCGCAGCTGGATGTGCTTCGCTCTGCCCTCAAGTCGAGGCTCCTGACACAGGAAGATAATGGCCCTGTTGTCAGCGTACAGGACCAGGGCAGAGCTAGGCCGCTCACCTAAGTCTGTTAGCAAGAAAGTCAGCCAGCGGAGCTCCTGTGCCGCCATGGCACCCGCGTAGATCTTAGCCTCACAGCTAGACTGAGCAACAGACGACGAGCAGGTGGACCTCCACGAGATGGCGCCTGCAACAAGGCTAAAGCAGTAGCCATAGTAGGACCTGAGCGTCTCAGCGTCGTTCGCCCACGAAGCATCTGTGTGCCATGTAAGGACCACTGGCCTACGTCCTCCTAGCACTAGCCCCATGTCCGATGTACTTGCTAGATAACGCAAAATCCTCTTAGCGGCCAACCAGTGCTGTGGTTGGTGTCTGCCTGTGGCCACAAAGCGAGTTAGGATGCTGAGAGTGTATGCGAGATCTGGACGAGTGCAAGTCATCGGGTACATGAGGCAACCCACGAGCTCTGCGTAAGGACCACTAGGCTCTATAGACTCCTCAAGGACTGGAGCCGAGAGCCTGTGATCTCCTAGCAGAGGTGTGGGCTGTGCAGAGGAGAACTGAAGATAGAACCTCTGAAGGACCTGGCGCACCAAGCGTGACTATGTAAGAGTGATGGTGCACGCTGCTCTGTCCCCTGGAGATCTGCAGGCCAAGGTAGCGGCGCAGATCTCCTACGTCAGTGCAGGTGTGTCTCCTCAGCAGCTCAGCCTTTACAGCGGGCTGTGCGTCTCTGTCTGAAATAGCAAAGACCAGGTCGTCTAGGTAGACAAGGACGTAGAGCGGGGTTTGGCTAGCACGAACGAAGAGCAAGGGGTCTGCAGAGGACGGGAATAACTGCAGGTCAGCTAACGTAGCACGCAGCGTGTCGTACCACTCATGGGGCACCTGCTGAAGGCCGTAAACCGGGCGCCGGAGAACCACTGGGTCCCGGGGGTGAAGGTGCCGGTGAAGCCTGGCGGGCGACGCAGGTAGACCTGCTCGTGCAGACTGCGCTGAAGAAACGCTGTAGAAATGTCAAGAGAGTGCAGCTGGTAGTCACACTGGGCTGCTACGTGTAGCAGCGCGCGAAGAGTAGTCACCTTCAAGGTCGGGACGAAGGTCTGAAAGAAGTCAACACCCTCGCGCCTTGAACACCGGCAGCTCTCCAAGAGGGCGCTTCACCTTGAAGAGCCACCGGCCATCGACTACGTTCACCCCAGGTGGGGGAACTGCGTCGACATAGGTGCCGGTGGATCTCCAAGATGCAATCTGTGCGTCCATGGCAGCTATCCACTGAGAGGCCCAGGGTCACGAGGTCGCCTCAGTGTAGGTGCGAGGGGTCGGGATGTCGAAGGCGTCTTGGTCCCCCTCAGGGACTAGCAGCATGGAGCAGAGATGAGGAGCGACCTTAGACAAGAAAGCAAGCTCCTACTGCCGGTCCTCCAGGACGTCACTGCCAAGGGCAGGGGCACCCCTGGCGGACGGAGGACGGACAGGGTCAGAGACTAGAGCAGTGGCGTAGTCAAGGCGGTGAGTAGAGGTGAAGTCAGCGACGGCAGCGACAAGCGCGTCAAGACTCGAGACAGGAACAGACTGGTCGATAACGAGGGAGGCAAGAACCCAAGGAACAAGAGGACTAGCGGCACGAAGGTAGTCAGACAGAGGAGGCAGGGCGGCAACAAGCGACGACAGAGCAGGCGACGGGAGGAGGGGAGGACGAGACGCGTGGGAACGAAGCAACATATTGTGAAGCGCTGAACAGGGGAAACAAGATGAGCACGGGAGGGACGGCGTGACTAGAAGTGGGTCGGAGGCGTCGTGTTAGGAGACACAGGAGGAGTCACAGGAGGAGTCACAGGAGGAGTCACAGGAGGAGAACGAGGAGGGAAACGAGTCGGAAACGAGTCTGGCAGAGGAAAGACAGGGCCGGGGACAGGCAGGGGAGGCGGTGGTGGGGGAGGCGCAGGCGGGTGGTCAGGGGAGGGAAGACCGAGGAGGTGAAGAGCGGACACCGGCAACAACTGTGGCTGCTGCTGCTGCTGCTCCACGCCGACACCCGAGCCTCCAGCTGCACCACGGCTACCTCCGGGACACTCGACTCCAGCCCTCCCTGAGTGAGAACCCTCTCCAGCACCAGTGCCACCTCCGAGACTACCGGAACGAGCCACGATAGTAACCTTAGGACTAGAACCCTCCCCAATGCCCGCACCCCTAGAACTCACGGTCCCCTGCGGCGTCTACGGCTGCGGCTGCGGCAGCGACGGATGAGGTGACACCCGGGCGGAGATAGGCGGCGAACTCGAAGCCGCAGGGACCCCTGAGTCCGCTGACTCCTCAACTAGAACAAGCGACGGTAGGGGAGTGACGTGAGACACACCGGACGGGGCAGAACGGGGAGGAAGAGGAGTAGGGGCAATAAGGGGGGTGGGGACCAGGAACAAGGGGCGGGGCAACCGGGAGACCTCGGTGGGGAAAGCGGGTGTAGAAAGAGACAGACTAGTCAAAAGTGACGTACGCAAGAGAAAGAAGCGGTGAGACGGCGGGTGGTAAATTTGCCAGTCAGACGCGTCGAGGGGGAAACCAAGGAAGACACAAGGGACAGTGCGGGCAGTGAGCTTGTCTGTGCCAGAGGCACGAACGTGTGCAAGGCAGCCCCAGACGTGGAATGCAGACGTGTTACGAGGGAACCCGGTCTAGAGGAGGGTCGGCAAAACTTGCGGCCGCTGGGAGTGTGGCCACAGGTTAAGCTGGTGAGCGGCGTAGCGAACAGCGAACAGCCACAAAAAATGGGGTGCACCGGAATGAATCATGGAGGTACGAGCAACCTCCATGACCAAACCGATGCGTCGCTCAGTGACCCCATTCTGCTGCAGGGAGTCCGGTAGGGTGTACGACTAGGTGATGCCCTCCGCACGACTGAAATGGCCAAGCCGACCGGAGGCGAACTCGCCACCACGGTCGTAGTGGAGACGCAACATAGGGAGGTCGCGGTGGACTCGCGAAGCTATGACCCACGAGGTAAGGGCGTCAATTACGCCGGTCTTGTGCTCCAGGGAAAACACCGTGGTGTAGCGCGTGTAGTTGTCGACAAGCACTAGAAAATAGCACTCTCGATGCGGCCCAGGTACGGGGGCTGGGCCCCAAACGTCCAGGTGCAGGGTCTAGAGTGGCGCAGCGGTACGGGGAAGCGAGGAGGAGTGAGGAGCACGGCGCAAGCGGCCCTCGACGCAAGGCGTGCACGGTGGCGTAGGGTAGGGAGGAAGGGCAGGGACTGACACGGGAAGACCGAAGACAAGGCCGTGATGTGACATGTGACGCAGACGCGGGAGGGCGAGGTGACCTAGGCGGTGGTTCCACAGAAGTGACGGGTGAGTAAGCGATCGACACAAGCAAGCCGCAACAACCTGGGTCGATGCAGACACCTCAGGGGACGCCCTCACCGGGGGGGGTGCGGTGTCAAGCGTAAACAAGCCAGCCACCGGGTCCCGGGGGAACGTGATGAGGGGGGCACCTGTGGTGGCCTCGGTACAGACCACGTACCGCTCGTGTCCGGAGAACGTAGTGGTGACGCCGAGGTCTTGAAGACAGCCGACACCGACTAGGTTCCTGGAGAACGAGGGAATGTGCAGACCTTTACGAGAGCTCGAGGGGACAGCCCGACAGAGAAGGTTGGTGGAGCTACGGGCAACTACCGGACCGGAGGAGGGGGCGGTGCCGCGGTTGGGGCTGGTCTGAAGCTGGTACGGACAGGTGACCGCACTGGAGCTGCCACCCGACATCGAGCTACGCCTCCCACCACCACGACCACCCCCACCAGCACCGCCAGTCCACCATCGCGGCGGGGGTCCCCACGGCGACCGTTGCTGCTGCGGCGCCTGCTGCTGCTGCTATTGCTGCTGAGTCGGCTGCTGCTGCTGCTGCTGAGTCGGCTGCTACTGCTGCTGCTGAGGCTGCGGCTGCTGCTGCTGTGGGGCACCAGCCACGGTCCCCTCGTCAGAACCACCGTCCCCGCCCCTACCTCCTCTACCCTCACCACCCCCACCACCCTTCCCTCCGCCATGCCCCACCTTGGTGTGGCGGCCCCTACCCGGACGTGGTTGCGCTCACGCCGCAACGACGGTCTTTGCAACAGCGACAGAGACGCCAGAGTAAGTGCACTGGGAGGGAGCACCGCCCTGAAAGATAGGGACTGGCGCAGTATTGCTAGACTAAGCGATAGTGCGCTGGCGGGTCTCTATCATGGACAGGGCGCCGACAAAGGTGGTGACGGTAAGGTCACGGGGGTGCTCATCAATGAAGTGGTCGCGGGCAGTGGCTAGGCAGTCAAGAAGGCGCGTGGCAATGAGCTAAAGGGTAGCGCAAAGCGACGGCGGAAAGGTAGTGTTAATGAGCCTCAGTGCTAGCGGCACGGTAGCTAGTCTCTAGTGCGCGGAGGTGAGTGGCAAGATCGGCGACAATGGGGAAGGACGCAAGATCAGGGAACAACATGGGGAGGATCAGTCTTCTGCAGAGGCTGAGGCGGGGGTGGAATAGTGCACGATGATTGCATCTAAGAATTCCTTGGCGTTCGCTACAGTGGTAAAGCGGGGACGCTCAGACAGGGGAAGTGCGTAACTAATAGCAAGCTGCGCAACTGCGTCGCGCGACTCCCAGGCCGCGCAAGCAAGCGCAGCAGCGGAAAAGACCTCACGCTCAGCAGTGG